AGATAGAGATTTAGAGAAATATAGAGATACGAGATATAGATGATCGCATTTCGTTCTCACCACGGCCCTATGAGGTAAGTTCCAGTATTATCTCTGTAAAAGGCTAACTAATTTGCCAAAGTTAAGTCATGTAGCAAATGGTAGCAGAGTGAGGACCCTGCCGGGCAGTTTAACTTTAAAGCCACACTGCTTAAACACCACCCGCCCATCTGTTCACTCCTTCAGCAGTCCCGTGGAATGGCTGCTACGTGACGGCGACTATTCGAGGTGCTGAGCCATAGCTGTGAACAATGCAAATCCAAATACATGTCCTCATGAAGCTTACATTCTAATGAAGGAGAAAGACAGGAAATAAAATATAAACTAGGTTAGATAGTGATCAGCATTAAGGAGAAAACTGGAGCAGAGAGAAATGTGTGTGGGGGTGGGTCGATTCTGAATAGGGTGGTCGGGCACGGTCTCACTAAGAAGGTGGCCCTGAATAAAGGTCTGAGGAAGTGAGGGAGGAAGCCATGCAGTTATCTGAAGGAAGAGCATGGTGGGTCAAGGAGACAGCATAGAAGGTTCTGAAGAAGGAGCAAGGACAGTCGGTCTTGGAAACAAGTCCAACGTGTCTTAGGCAATGATCAAGGAACAGAGCAGGAGGGATCAGGGAGGTAAATAGAACCAGATCTTGTAGGATGTTGTGAGTGGCTACTTGGATTTTGTCATTCACTCTGGTGTGATGCAGCCATTTGGATTGGAGCAGAGGAGGGACATGCCATTGCTTGGTTTAAAAAGGATCATTGTTTTTTTTTTTAATTAACATGTATTATTTGTTTCAGGGGTACAGGTCTGTGATTCATCAGTCTTACACAACACCCAGCACTCACCATAGCACATACCCTCCCCAATGTCCATCACCAGCCACCCCATCCCTCCCACCCCCTCCCCTCCAGCAACCCTCAGTTTGTTTCCTGAGATTAAGAGTCTCTTATGGTTTGTCTCCATCTCTGGTTTTGTCTTGTTTCATTTTCTCCTCCCTTCCCCTATGATCCTCTGCCTTGTTTCTCAAATTCCTAGTATCAGTGAGATATGATAATTGTCTTTCTCTAATTGACTTATTTCGCTTAGCATAATACCCTCTAGTTCCATCCACATCATCGCAAATGGTAAGATTTCATTTTTTTAAAATTTGACAAAGAGATCACAAGTAGGCAAAGAGGCAGAGGGAGAGGGAGAAGCAGGCTCCCCACTGAGTAGGGAGCCCGATGTTGGGCTCGTTCCCAGGACCCTGAGATCATGACCTGACCCGAAGGCAGACACTTAACCAACTGAGCCACCCTGGCGCCCCAAGATTTCATCTTTTTTGATGGCTGCATAATATTCCATTGTATATATATACCACATGTTCTTTATCCATTCATCTGTCGATGGACATCTGGGCTCTTTCCATCATTTGGCAATTGTGGACATTGCTGCTATAAACATCGGGGTGCATGTGCCCCTTCAGATCACTACCTTTGTATCTTTGGGGTAAACACCCGGTACTGCAATTGCTGGGTCATAGGATAGATCTATTTTCAACTTTTTGAGGAACCTCCATACTGTTTTCCAGAGTGGCTGCACCAGCTTGCATTCCCACCAACAGTGTAGGAGGGTTCTCCTTTCTCCAGATCCTCACCAACATCTGTCATTTTAAACAGGATCCTTCTCACTGCTCTGTCAGGAAGAGTCTGTCAGAGGGACAAGGGTGGCAGCAAGAGGCTGCAGAAGTCAGCCAGGCCAAGACTGGTAAGCCAGGCTTGGGCTGGTATATGCTGGAAATGTGTCAAGAGCTTCAATTCTGAGTTCTTTGTGAAATCAGAGTCAAAAGATTGGCCAAAACGTGGGATGTGGGGTATGTGAAAAAGAGCAGTCAAGGATGACTTTAAGGCTTTTAACCAGAGCAACTGAAGACTAGAAATGACATTTTTCAGAGACGGGGGAAAATGGAGGAATTGCTTTTGTTTTTGTCTCAAAGGGGGTTGTTTTAAGAAATTATCGGGTCTCGGTTTGGGACGTGTTAAACTGGGGATGTCTATTAGACATCTGAAAGGCAATGCTGAGTGGCATGTCTGGGAGTTCAGGAGAGAGATCCATCTGGACTGGGGTCATAAGCTCTACAAACTACACTCTACTCCCTTCGAGTCACTGAAGACACTGATCCACATGCAGTTTTGGAAAATGAGAACTGTATCCAAAATACTGGAAAAAGGGGCACCTGGGTGGCTCTGTGGGTTGTGTCTGCCTTCGGCTCAGGTCATGATCCCGGGGTTCTGGGATCGAGTCCCACATCTGGCTCCCTGCTCAACGGGGAGCCTGCTTCTCTCTCTCTCCGACTCCCCCCTGCTAAATAAATAAATAAAATCTTTTAAAAAATATACTGGAAAAGCATTAGGAAAGTCAAATTTAAAAATTCACCCATATCCTGCCACCCTAAAAACAGCTGCTTTCATTTCTCCACATTTCCTTCTGTTTTTGCCTACAGGCATACATAATTTTATGTTGTAATCATAACATAGATACAATTTCATATTCTACCTTTTTTCACTTATGATCCCACAAATATTTTCCTAAGAGGCTCCCATATGTGTTTCTTGGGGATTTAAAAGGCCAACAAAATGCTGGGTATCACTGGGAAACATTTCAGAAACAAAAGTCGGAATCTTACTTTGCTACAAAGTTTGGTGCCCCTACAGCTGACATTGTGCTCACTGTAATTTTTGTGGACAGTGACTGTCTGTAGAGGTGACTTTGAGCCCGGACTTGAATGATGAGAGCTGGCCACATACCCAATCTGGGGAAGGGCAACCCAGGAAGAGGGAACAGTGTGTGCGAGAAAGAGGGAATGGCACGTGTTAGGAGGCAACAGGAAAGCACATGATGAGGGTTGCTGGCATATTCAACTGACAAAATCTTTTTATTTAAACTACCCAGAACAGTGGGTACACCCTTCATCTGGGATTCTTTAGAAAGGAACAGAAGCCATATGGAATAATTTAGAACATAGTGAACCCTAGTATGACTAGTAGTTCTTTTTTTTTTTTTTAAGATTTTATTTATTTATTCATGAGAGACAGAGAGAGAGAGAGAGAGAGAGGCAGAGGGAGAAGCAGGCTCCCAAGGAGCAGGGAGCCTGATGCGGGACTCGATCCCAGGACCCCGGGATCATGACCTGAGCCGAAGGCAGACGCTTAACCATCTGAGTCACCCTGGTGCCCCTGACTAGTAGTTCTTAAAGGTTCTGGGCCTCAGACTATACACAAACTCTGCATGGAATCTGATTTGTTCATTCATCCCAGTCCCTGAGCCAGGACTGGAGTCTGGTCCCTTAATTTTATAGAAAAGGCCGAGGGTCCAAAGACAAGTTAAATGACTTGGGCAAAATTATTCAGCTACTTTATAGGGAGTTTTAACCAGGGTTGAATTAGCTCTGCCCTCCACATGGAAGACTAAAAAACAAAACATGATTCCATGCACACGACTCTATCGTTGGCAAAGCCCTTTGTTAGCTGGGAAATGCCCCCTCACTTCTTGGCTCACCTGCCTATCATTTGCAGAGTTATTTACTCAAAAGCTGGAAAATTGTTGAGAAAACCATTCCTCCCTGACTCCTGGCATGGAAGGCAGGAAGCTGGTTTACGTTTCCTCCTAGGGCCAGCAGGGGGGGCACCAGGCAAGGTTTGTGAGCCGCGCCTCCCCCACGCCTCCTCCCCCTTCCGCGCCCAATTTCCCCTTAGCCCCTGCTTCAACTGAAAGTGGCCATTGACCTTTCAAGCTTTTGACAAGTGATGCAATAGAATAGTATTTCAAAGAAAAATGGTTATCGAAATTTTGGATCCGGTTTTCCCGTGAGTGTTAATGGTTTTCAAAAAAAGTAGGTCACACTTAAAGTAGGTCACATTTTGGAGACGGGCATGCAGGCAAGGAGCTGAGTTCCAACTGAGGCCAGGTGGCCTCCAACCGGGTGGGAGGAGGTGAGGGTCTCCGCGCAGGGAAGTGACGGGATCTTTCCGAATTCCCAGTCCCTGGGCGCCAGGCCTGCGGGAAATCGCCGAGACAAGAGCTCTCGGGACTGCAGGCACCGAGGCCGGCCGCCCAGCACCACCGGGGCGCGCAGGTAAGGGCGCCCCCCTCAGCAGTCAGTGCAGGTGAGCCGGGCTGCCCGCCGGAAGGAGACGATGGAGCGGAGTGGGGGAGCAGGAGGAGGAGAGGAGGAGCCCGGCGGGGCCGGTGCGGGAGACGGCGAGCTGGAGCGCCTGGGGGAGGAGACTGAGAGCCGCTAGCGCTGCTTAAGGAGGCGCCGCTCTGCACCCGCGGGCTGCCTTCTAGGACCTGGGCGAGGGCACCGCCTCCGGCCCGCTCCCCTCGGCCCTCATCTCCGGCTGTCGGTCGGGACCGCGGGCGCCTGGAAAGGGGCCTCTCCCACTCCGTTACTGTGCTGTAAAGCGAGAGGGGCCGTTGTCGGCCCCCCCCGTCCCTCCCACACCCCGCTCACAAAATGTGCAGCCGGGAGGGTCGCGTCGAGAAGGCGCGGAGAGGGTGGGAGAGACAGAGCCCCGCGGCTGACCGTGGAAGTCTCAGTCCTCAGACCCCCGCGCACGGCGGGCACGGCGGGCACGGCGGGGGGCAGGCTCCGGCCGGCGCAGCGGGGACGGCGGTGGCAGGGGTGCTTCTCCTGCGCGCCTCCGAGCCCTCGGAGCGGCCGAGTCGGAGGCGGACGGACTCCCAGGCAGCCCGGCCGCCCAGCCCCGCACCGAGCGCTCTGAGCCCGCCTCCCCTGAAGCCTGCGCATTAGCGCCGGAGCCTCTTTAAAGCAGAAGCGGGGGCCGCGGTCACGTGAGGTGGATTCCTGGAAAGTTCCTGGAAAGCGGCCTCCGCAGCAGCCGGGCGGGGCGCAAGGCGAGCGCGGACAGGGGAGGGAGGCGGGGGTGAGGGAGGCGCGCGGGGCTGGGAAGTCGCGCGCACACCCGGCTCCGGGGACAGACATTTAACTCTTGCCATGTCTCGCCGCCGCCACCGCGGCTCGCGGGCCTTGGGCTTCCCTTGAAGCATGAGCCTCCTAGCCCGCCGCTACCGGCGCTGCGCTGGCCGCGGACAGTGCGCCCCGGGGCCCCGCGCGCACAACCTCAGGATCCCCTGCGCCCGCAACCGGGGCGCCGGAGGAGCTCGGCCGGGCGTTGGCGGCAGGTACTGGTCCGAGGAGCCCGAAGGCTCTTCCCCAAGGGGGGTCGCCGGGGAGGGCACCGGGGCGCGGCCACGAGCGCGGGGCGGCCTTGGCTTCCGCAGTTCAGAACCGCCGGAGACAGAGTCGGAGCCGCGGCTCTGTCCCGCAGCCGGGCGCTGCAGCCTGCTTTCTTCGGCTCCTTCTAGACGTCGGGAAGTCTCCGCGGAGTTTTCTCCCCCGCCCCAAACTGCCATCCAAATTAATAATCCTCCTAATAACCTGATCTGCCGCTCCTCCCCACCCGCCTGCCTCCCGCCCTAGCAGCTCCTTCCTCCTCCCTCTCTTCTTCCCACCTCCTTGGTCGCAGCCAGAGGAAAAGCCAGCAGCTGGCCAGGGTGGGGGATTTCGGAGCCCGGGGGTTCTAGGCGATGGTCCCCGGCGCTTTTGTTTGCCCTCTGCGCAAGAATTCTGGCTGCCGCAGAGCGCATCCCCAGGCATCTCGTTCCCAAATTAAAAGTCAACAGGGGAAACTCGGGCAGACACCCCTCCTCTCCCGGGCCCCTCCCGGTTCCCCCGCCCCATGTCCACTGGGGAGGCTGCCTGGTGTGGAGGCGGCGGCCGAGGCCGAGGTAAGGGCTCCGCGATCGTTGTCTTACACGTCCAGCGGCGTTTGCTGCCGCCTGTTCTGCCCCGGCCGGGGTTTCAGCCCCGAGCCCCCGCGAGGGCTGCGCGCTTGGGCCGATTCCTCGATAGCGCCCGCGGCGGCTGCCGCCACTGCGCGCGGCGGGGCCCCCCACCTCTGCCCCACGCTGGCGCTGGGAAACGGGCGGAGGGGAGGGTGCGGCAGCTTCTGCACCTTGGCGCCCCGGGCTGGCGACTCAGGGTGCTTCGTCCCGGAGCCCCCGGGCTGTGGCGAGTGAGACACAGGAGTGCCAATTTGGGGATCTCTCTTATTCTTTCCGATTTTTCTGCTTGTCCTTGACTAGGGCCTATTTGCCACCCTACCCGCAGGTGACTTTGCTCTGCTAGTCTGCGGTTTCAGCCAGTAGCCCTGGGCGGGAAGACACCCTGTTCCCCACCCTCATCCTGTCCCTCCCCACCCCCTCCCCCCTCGGCAACTCTTGCGTCTTGGAGCCCTGCTCTCTCTTTATCCTCTCTCTACAGCTGGGCCGGGGCAGTCACTGGATGCTTGGGGTTAAATGGTGCAGGAGCATAGACGCGGAGGAGTCCCCAGGATTTTCCGCGTCTCTGTCTCCCCACCCACACCCCAGCCTCGGGGGTCCAGCTTGGACTGACCCAAACCCATACTTTCTTTTTGCAGGCAAACTGTGGGTGACCGCGCCTGCAGGGGACTTTGCCATTCGTCCACTGGAACCTGGGGAGGAAGAACCAGAAGCACCCCATCCCCTCCCTCTCCACCATTTCGGATACCCCGCAGGGACTCGTTTTTGGGTTCGCACTGACTTCCAAGAAGGACGCGTGCCCCGCTCTGACCCCATCGCGGGTGGCCACCTGTCTTTGCCGCGGTGACCCCTCTCCCATGACCCTGCGGTGCCTCGAGCCCTCCGGGAATGGCGCGGAAGGGACGCAGAGCCAATGGGGGACCGCGGGGTCCGCGGAGGAGTCGTCCCCGGAGGCGGCGCATTTGGCGAAGGCCCTACGGGAGCTCAGTCAAACAGGTAAGGAGCTGATCCGCCGCGACGCGGGCGACAGGGGTAGCTTCCCCAAAGACGCGGTTGCAGGCTTTGCTGGCGGGGAGCGCGGCTAGGAAACGGGGCCGCGGTGGGGAGCAGAGAATGGGATGGAACTAGGGCCCCTCGGTTCCCGTTCCGCCTCGGGGCGGGGGACCGCGGAGAGGATGCCCGCACGGCCCTGGGTCCTTGGGAATGCGAAAGAAAAGTGGTTCTCGAGGGACTCTGAGGCCTAGGGGAGGGCAGAACGCGAGAAGGGCTTCTTGAAAATAGCCTAGTAGGGCGCTGGAACCTTTGTTTGCCGCGGCCGCTCGGGAGTTGGTACACGGGCTTGAACCCTGGCGGGAGAAAGTGCCAGGCACCTCCCTTTCCGCGGGGAACCCGCGCGGCGAGTGGGCGCTGCGCTGCCTGCGGCTCCAGCTGCATCCGGCTCCCGAGCAGAGCCGCCGCGGCAGCCCGGGATCTTGGCGGCCAAGTTCCAAGCACCGACAGATTAGGGCGCAGGCGGCTGCCGCGGAGCCGGGCGGAAAGCGGCCGGCGGAGCCCCCGCAGAACGCGGCCTTCAGGGGCTGCGCGCCCAGGGTGTTGCTGGTTTCGAGGGCAGTCCTGCGCTTTGCGTGGCCCGCTGTCGTCTTTCGGCGTCTGAAAGAACAGATGGGGGGGGAGGACAATCTGGCAAACTACGCAAGGTTTCAAAATCTGGATCCTAAAAGCTTACGTTTGGGGCTAAGTTGAAGTTTTGGTGGCACAAGGGAGAGGGAAGAGTCACTCGCAGTTCCGGTCTTTGAGTGCCGACCACCAGCTCTCCCTCAGCGGGGCAGGCCGGCAGATTGCAGGTATCGGAGCTGTTTTTTTGGGGGGTGGGGGTGGGGGAAGAAAGCAAATTGTCAGACTTCTTAAGCAGAAGGTCTCGAAGTCATTGCTGAAAACGGGATGGACGCAGGCCGATCAAATCGAGAATGCTGGGGAGACCGACGGTTGTGATCGGATTTGGATTAGGGCAAAGTCCGAAGGAGTTGCAGATTGTAAACTTGAAGTGCTAATTATCAGTTGGGGTTTCCCTCATTTCTCAATGACTGATACGGTAGTTGTAATCAAAGCAACAAACAAGCTGTTAGACTGGGTCTGCACTTTGAGAAGACGTAAATAGCAGTGCTTTCCAAGGGCTTTGAACACAGATGCAGCCCTGAACAGATTTGGGGAGGGGGAGGGTGGATACCAACCTTCCCAAAAGTTCTTTTCGGTTTTTACCCTGTTGGAATTACTGGAGTTGGGCTTTCCACTTTTCTAAGGGCATGACTTTTATTTCTAACTTCTGATTTATCTCTAAATTGCTTTGATTTCACTTGAATAGTGCTAGAAGCATCATGCTTTGTCAGCCAGTGTGTCATACTGCAAATACTCTTTTGTTTCATTAGGAGAAAAATCTTTGGATAATTTAAGGAACAGCTACAGAAAGCTGTTTTTTAAAGCCAAAAGCTGACTCTTAGTTTGGGTTCATAAAGTATAATGGACCCACAGTTTCATTAAATTTCTACCGAAATTATTTGTGGTAGTCTCTGGTAAATATTCACTCACACATTTCTACTTAGAGCTAGAAAAACTGTTGCCAGGTATTTGTCCTATTTTAAAAATTCCTTATAATAACTATTTTACCCTCTTTTCTTTTTCTTTTTGAACAAAAACCCCAGGTTGGTACTGGGGAAGTATGACTGTTAATGAAGCCAAAGAGAAATTAAAAGAGGCACCAGAAGGAACTTTCTTGATTAGAGATAGCTCGCATTCAGACTACCTACTAACAATATCTGTTAAGACATCAGCTGGACCAACTAATCTGCGAATCGAATACCAAGATGGGAAATTCAGATTGGACTCTATCATATGTGTCAAGTCCAAGCTTAAACAATTTGACAGTGTGGTTCATCTGATCGACTACTATGTTCAGATGTGCAAGGATAAGCGGACGGGCCCAGAAGCCCCCCGGAACGGCACCGTTCACCTTTACCTGACCAAACCGCTCTACACATCAGCGCCACCTCTGCAGCATCTCTGTAGACTCACCATTAACAAATGTACTGGTACCATCTGGGGACTGCCTTTACCAACAAGACTAAAAGATTACTTGGAAGAATATAAATTCCAGGTATAAGTGTTTCTCTTTTTCTAACCATGCCTCGTATAGAGTCTCTCCGAATGCAGCTATGTCAAAGAGAACCAAAACTTGAGTGACTGCTCTGGATAACTACTCGGGATTCTAAAAACAGCTGAAGTCAATCTAATTTAAACCTGTGCCGAGGTAGCTAGCTATTTAAAGTTCCCCCAAATATTTTCACCTGAGAGTGATGCTTACCTTCCTAAGGCTGACCAAGACCGGTTAATCCTAAGTTAAAAACAAAATGTCCCAAGGAAAGGCTGAAAGGAACATTTTATCAGAATGCCTTTGCCTTTCTGAGGTTCCTCCTTATTAGGTCAAAGGTCCACGCCCTGGTAGTAGGGAGAGAACTGGATGCAGGAGTACAGAAGGAGTGGAGGAACCCAACTGACACCAGGCTTAGCTTCAATTTTAGATGCCTGGTGGTCAGAGTCCCCTCTAGGCCATTTTCTCTTTTTGCATTCTTGATGTACCTAGGAGTTTTGTTAAACAGATAAGCTTGTGAGTATTTATCCTTCATTTATGCAATTAACCAAATCAACCAAAAAGGTGACCATGAAATCCTGTATATGACTTTTTACTACACGTATGAACTCTCTCATGTGAATGAGTACTGTAGTAATCCGTTTTAAGGGAGCCTTATCTCAGAACTATTTCAAACTGGTGCACACGGAAAAGACTTTGTCTTTTCCTTTAAGGCTAAAGACAAGAATGTCATGCTCTACAGGTGCAACTCAATCCCTGTTAATAAAACCATGTAGATACAGACATTTGATCCTTTCAAGTAACTGTGTCCCAACCTGTTGCCATTGACTTTTTGGAAATGGCTGTAGAAATTAACAAGTTGTCCTTAAATTGTCTAACCATGGACATCAGCAGTTGTCTCCCTTCTACCATGTAGAATACTTTGACTTAATTCTCTTCCAGATATAGGGGGATACCTGCCTGTTTTTTCAAAGTGTTTATTTACTGCTGTTACTATTTGACTAGAATGTATTAAATAAAAAAAAACTTGACTTTTACAAGTTGCACTTATTACTTTGAATTGTAGAGAACGGACACATTCATGGTAATAGACAGTTGCCATAAAAACTCATGTCACGTGAAATCAGCCAACTATTCAGCAAGTGGTAGAACATGACTTACCCTTCTCTAAAGTTATGGGCCACATTAGCCCTTTGCGTTTTGGAAAGCATGGTTTCGACAGGACAAGTATTGTCCAGTGGCCTGGTCTTTTACACATTGAATAGGCATCACACTAATGCCCTGGGTGCTTCCAAAAACATGGTTTAGAAACTTACAAAGATTGTACACATCCTGGTCTTTTGTGGGTTGAGTAGGCATAATTCAAAATAAAAATTAAAAGTTTTATGGCTATTTATTTTTTGTCACACAGTCTCATGACTGTTGCGGATGAACATCTTTAAATTTTACAGTCCAGACAGTATTCATTTTGCAGCCTTAAAAAATACCTTGTGTAGTTACGTACTCTGGTGTGTCATTGGGAAAGCGAACATTGTAGATCATGTGTGTGCCCCAAAGTGAATTAGAAAACTTAGTTATAAATTATAGTAAAATCTGCTTACCTCCATGTCATGAAAATATTCACATTTTCAGGAAGCCCTTGAAAAATCGTTTTGTGCCTGGAAGGAAAACCTAACTATGCATGTCCAAACAGCAGAGTCAAACACAAAAGATTGCTAGGTGTGCCTTAGGAAGAGATTTATTTGTAGCCTAAAATTTAAAGAAGAGCGATACTTTTGGGGGTCTGTTCTATGATGGGGACCTTTTCATTAGGGCCTTCAGATTCTGTGCTTAATTTGCCCCTTTTTCCCACTGACAACAGTTGTTTAATGTGGGGTGTCTGACTTTTCTGGCAAACCTCCAAAGGATCGGGGCCAGGGGCTTTGCAATTTCTTTAAGGTCTTTTGCATTTCTGTTCTCATTGATTCGGACTCTGATACTTGTCACTGCTGAGAGTTGGACAGACAGGTGGGGGTATGAGTACTCACGGGACTGTGACAAGGTCTGCATTAGCTTTAGCAGGTGGCTAGTTAGGAGAAAACCAGAGGAGAGCAAAGATCTCTGGGGTGTGCTCTAGAACCATTGCCTTAATGTTTCAATCTTCCCTGTTCCAAGTAAGCTGATAAGCATCAGGAGACAGTCTTTTTCAGGGCGTGGGTGTGGGGGTTGTTTTGCTGTGCTGTTTACAAACATCCTTTACTTACTGAGTTGACCGCCTCGAGTTCTCGCTCAGCACTTTACATGCATTATCTCATTTAATCTTCACCCCGACCGAATGAGCAAAGTTCAGTGATCACAGGAGGTACACCTGAGGAGGCATTCCAGGAACATCCCAGCCCTTTTTATTCCTGGAAAGGAATTACAAAGAGCAAATTGCTGCTATTTCTACATTGATCCAGACGGACAAGTTAGAACAGGCTGTAAAAGGAAGCCTCAGCCTTTTTACTGCTGCCTCAATGGGAGAAGTATGGGTACCTTCATTAATGTACTCTGTGGGATTCACATCACCTTGGCCCAGTGGGTTTTTTTTTCTGGTGTGGAGGTAAGTCAGGAGAGGGTTAACTGTCTTACTCAGTTGCTGGTAAATGCTGCCCATTACCGATTGTTGCTAGCCCCATTTTACAGATGGCCGAACCACAAAGTTAGGATGTGCACTTGACTAAATTATCCTCAGCAGAGCCAGGAAAAATCGCCAGTATTCTCTCCCTACAGAGGGCACTTTGGGGCATTAGTGAGGGTATGTTGTCTTATGGTTGTTACTGTTAAAAGAATAGAGTACACAGAATTTACCTATCTCCATGGACTTAAAATATTTTGATGTGAGTTTCTATTTTGAGCAGATTTGTGACAGTGGAGTTTTTTATTCCATCGGAATGGGCTCTAGGGACTGCTTTTTAGGGACTTGGGGTTTTTTTTAGAGCTTTGGACAGTGAAGAAAAGGCAGTTTAGCTTATGAGCTGAGAGTTCTTTTTTGGCATGTCAGTAAGAAAGTCTTGACTTCATAGTAATTATGTAATCCAAATAGGTAACAGAATGGGACAGTTGTTTCGAGTGTTTATTTTCTTGGGAAGGATTTTTTCTGCTTTTAGAAAATTGTACCCTGGTAGGAGGTTAGGAGACAGAGACGTCATCAAATAATCCAAGGGATGGAATGTCCTGAGACCAGGCCGTGCCCTTCTCGGTTGTCGGTTTAGGCACAGGGTAGTGGGGGTTGAGTGACTGTGGTTCCATCTAAACAGCTGGGCCGAGGCCTGTCTTGGCTCCTTGGTCAGGGTCTCGCTTCTAATGCTTCTAAGGGTTGTCATTCATTCTAGGCCTTTCATTTACTAAGAGGCCTGTCACCTCTCCCAGTATTTTATTTCCTAGAATTTTAAAGCTTGAAATCACTTTTCAGATCATATGTTTTAGTTCTGACACTTTCCTGAAGAAGGTTTTCCAGACCCAGGAGATTTGTGTGTACATGCCCGTGCGTGCGCACGGTTCAGCAGCTCAATGGCAGGGTTAGTGTTTGAGCCCAGGTCGTCTAACCTCGGGTTTCATATTTGCGAAAGCTGCACCCTTCTATCCTGTGTGTGAATGGTCCGTGTTCCTCTTTGCTATCCTGCAAGCCCTACAGTGCCTTTTTTTTTTTTTTAAAGACTTTATTTATTTGAGAGCAGAGACAGAGACAGAGAGCATGAGCAGCGGGGAGGAGGCAGAGGGAGAAGCAGGCTCCCCACTGAGCAGGGGGCCTGATGCAGGACTGGATCCCAGAATCCCCAGATCATGACCTGAGCTGAAGGCAGCCCCTTACCCAACTGCGCCACCCAGGCGCCCCCCTACAGTGCTTTTAACATCACATTTTTCTGCCTCTGAAAATTTAGAGAAGGCCTTTGGAATGCTATGTGGGATAATATCAGTTCTTGGCTCCTTCCACCCCAACCCTGGGGAGAGCTTCTGCCGGGGTTCATGATGTCCTGATCCACATTAGAGTGTGGCGTTAATTTTATAATCTATTTGCTGCTTTAAAATCTGAAACCTGCCATCCATGTGTGTTTTGTGATCTCCTTTCTCCCTCTGCCAGAGGGGACTCATACCCAGCCATGGGTGCCTGGGTGACCCCCCCCCCCCTCCCGTCCTCACCAGTGGAGCTCCTTCTGTGTTTTGCCTGTTCCTGGGCATAATGGCACAGTGAATTGCTGCCTGCCTTTCTCCCCGTTGTGTCATAAATGTGCCTTTTAGCTCATCTGACACAGCCCTGCCCAGGCTTATTTACTGCAGTGAAAGAGAGTAATTATATTCTCCTTGAGTTGGGTAACCCAGTGATTTAGAATATCTGAAGATTAAATCTGTCCCCAATCTCTCTTTGATTGCTTTCAGGTTGTGAAACAAGGAGGTGGCCCCAAATGCCACACTTTGGTTATGGGCATATTTGTGTGTGTGTGTGTGTGTGTTTAATGTAAAGTACCAGACGCTCCTTCTTCACTGTTAAATTGCTCTCCATTGGAATGGAAGGGAAATGCCCTCCACCCCTCCTTTGTCACCTCTGAAAGCGTGAATCTGTGATCATTTTGTTTCCGTCCTCCCACGTAGGCCTCTTTTGTCCTCGGATTCTCGCCACATATTTTTGATTTTTCCGCTTTTTCCTGTCTCTGGCTTGAGTTCGGGTTCCTTCACTTCACTACAAAAGTAAAGTAACAGCTGTCACTACCGTAGGCGGTGAAGAGCCCCGGGATCCCAAATGCCTAGACAGTAAGGAAGCTGAAATCATGGAGCAGAGCTAGATATTCCTTCCTACGCCTTCAGGAGCTTTGGATCAGACTGGATGGACAAGTGTGGTCACCGGGAACGGGGTTCACATCAACAAACATGTACCGAGCCATAAAAAGAAAAGCGCTTGTATAGACAACGCTTAACTCTGAACTACATCCTTCACCTGGAGGAACTCTGCCTTGCTGGAGAGATCGGAGCACATTGTGTGAAGTATTACTCATGTGGTGCTGCCTCTGTTAGAAACTCAGGGAAGGGGAAGGCAAGCCAGAGCCCTAGTGAGAGGGAAGGAGATGGTGCCAGCCACCTTCCTCTTCTGTCAAAGACTAAATAACCACCCAACGAGCCCCTTTCCTGTGGCAGAGAGGGTGAGACTTCATCGCAGAACTTCCGAAAACCTTCCTGAGTCTACCCGGTTTCCAGCCATGTTAAGATAAAAATTTGTTTTGCCAAACGGTTTTCCCTTGTTAGTTTGGTATGCTTTTGCCTGTTTAGATTTGGGTCCAGAAAGCTGCTGTGATCTTTAACATTCAGAAAAAATATTTTCCATGTTGTTCCTACCCAGAGAAAGTCCCATTTTAACATCCCCTCTGCCATCTTGATGAATTTGACCTTTCTGAGGTTTCCACTATAGCTGCTTTCTCCCTGTTTCTGTTTCCAGGTTGTGGCTATCAAGTCGGTATTTGGTCAGAAAGCGTGTTTGTATTTTGCACATTTGATTAGGGCATCTGCTTTCACTTAACTGCAGTAATACGGGGCAGAGAGAATGGGGATAATAGAAGCCCATAAACACGTTCTAGCTAATACTTTTGACTTCCTCCCCATTCAGTCTCCTTTGCTCGAACCACTGACAGAAAAATCAGCTGCTTCTCTGATCTCATTTTATTCTCCTCATCCGTCAGGCAGCGAGGCTCTTAATAAACAGCAGAGTAGCTAAAAAGATGGCCGAGTGAGGAAAGTACGGGGGATGGAGGATCAGTGGCCCACCCAGGGTTCCTGAGAGCCGGTGGTAGATGCAGTGGTGCCTGTTCATTCATCCAGCGCTTCACTGTCGGTTCTGTTCATTACCCATGACCCATCGCGGTCCCCAAGGCAGGTGATCCTCATCCTGACGTAGGGTCAGAAGTTCCCCGGTAGCCAAGCACGACCTTGCAACGCCTGCCTCGTTCACTTTGCCTCCTCTGCTCACATAGGCATTTTATCATCTCCCATCTCATCACAAGGAGGGTGAGTACAGTAAGATATTTTGAGA